TGTTGACAATCTAATCTAACAGCATATTATCATAAACTACTTTGTCAAGATATGCATAATTCTAGGTAACTTTGATATTTTCACTGTAAGCATGTACTATCACTCCAAGTTCTCCAAGAAGACCCCAATCCATTCAATCTGGAAGGGCATTTACACATGCCCTGTCCACTATGATTTTAGTTTAATAATTTTGTTTATACACAGAAGATTGTTAGTAACCAATGAGTCAAGTTAGACACCTCTAGACCCAAGTGCTTCAACCTAGCTGCCACTAGGATATCCTGAGACTCAATTAACAGCACTGCCAATGACTGATATTATCCAGTGTCATATCACAATGACTGAATGACTACTCTACACAAACTTGATTCATTCCTGTATTCACGAGAATAAAGACCCTTCCATTTCACTATACAGCACTTTACAGACCATTATATAGTTTTTGAAGGTAGCAAGCATCCCATAACCAAACTCCTGATGGTAAAATGACATGAAGTGCATGGATATGGTCTATCATATTATATGCAGGTGTGAATCCAGACTGTTCCAGTCTCTTGTACCAAAGCAGATGGTGTCTTCTAGGTCTGAGCCTGCATGCTTGACATTGCAATGCCTTTATAACTACTGTAGTCCACATTTACCTTTCCAGAGAAGGTTAACCCAATCACTACAGATTTCTGCACTGTCCTCTGTGAATTTTATTTCATACAGATGGCTCTACATGTGCTCAGCCACCAAGGAGTCTACCAGTAGGCCCTAGTGATCACTCCTGATTTCCCCCTTCCTTGAAATTGCGGGAAAATGTGTTTTTCTTTCAAATATTACTGATATCGATACTGTTATTTGATATTATGATTATAAAGTTGTTATTAAAGTTTTGGTAACATTAAAGATAATGAAATAATCCAAAAGAAACTCCAAAAATCAAGAAAAAGGGTAAACAGGTGAGATAGGTAGGACTAATAAATGACTCCTTGATGACTAAGCACTTGTAGAGCCATCTATGTGTAAATACAATAAATAAACTTATATTGCAGTGGGCATGGCATGTATTCCTGTCATCCCTGCTGATTGGGTTAGCCAAGCCCATCAACAGACTTAAAGGGATGGCACCAAACTGCAGTCAGGGCAGCAAGTAATCCACAAGTCTTAGTTCAACAGTGATGCTGCAACTGCCCAATACATTACTATTCAATAGCTTTGATGCTGTCTCCCTAACCTCTGTCAGGGTGGGAGGTTCCTTGCTGATGGAGGATCAGGCAATGAGACCATGATACTAAAAATATCCAAGGTAACCATTGGTAACCTAAGAGGAAACAGCTACTAAAAATACTTGGCCTAATATTCTCAATACCCCTCCAAAATATGAAATAAACACAGCTATCTGCTATGTCAATTTCAAGACATCTGTAGGGAAGGTTTGCCATCCAGCTTTTCTCTGGTCTTGGAAGGCAGAAAGAAGGATGAAGAAATGGCTTTTGACCTCAACAAGATTCCTGTGATACTGCTACTTGTTCCCCTGCAGAGTTAATTACACCAAAAATCAATACAATCTCCAGTCAGTCAAGGATTAACTGCAATGAGAATTTTATATTTGAATGTGTCCCACAGTGCAACAAGGTCCACCAGGCTGTTGAGCACAATGAATTCATTAAAAATAATCACAGTAAACCCCTGATCACACTCCTCTCTGTCTGTCCAGCTGAAACATTTCAGTAGACAGTGGAAGGCAGCCATGACTAATCCATGGTCAGTGCCACAAAGTATTAACTTATCAATTACTAAGGTTAGTAACAAAAATTAAGCAATACAAAATGAATAACATAAAAGCTTTATTTCAATAGAAAACAGTGAAAACAATTCTCCATTCAAACTCTACTCCACAAACGGCAATGTAAGTAGCTGTTGAACAACACAAGTGGTAAAAATGGGTTATGTACTACACTAATACCAATTTTCCTACACAAAGTTTTCTATTCTACCATTTTTTTTTTATAAAACTCTCTCTAATATTCATATTAGTGGAGAATTGTTTCATCTTAACAGGGTAGCATAAAAAACAATGCTATTATACCAAAATATCTCCTATGTAAAATAATACATGCAATCCAATTGCAAAAATATAAAATATCTGAAATCAACAACAAATAAAATTTTGTAAAAAACAAAACTGATAAATTTAACTTCTATAAGAAAATATACTAATTATATATATATATATATATATATATATATATATATATATATATATATATATATATATATATATATATATATATATATAAACTAAAAAATATAGTGTACAAATGAAGTTTTATTTCTGCAAAAAATACTTCTGGGAATATACTCAGATGTTTTGCACTGAAACTCTCCCATGGTGGAATGAAGAACATGTATATTTTCTAATATAACTGTATTACTATTACTTGTCAGTATACCAGCAAGAGCTCATCTTCCAATAATATGCAATAAATCACAACAAAAAAATCCTCCTGATATATGGAAGACAGTACATGTAAGTTGTTTTCTAAGCAGATATTTCAAGATTATCTGTGTACTTGTTTACCGTATCTACTTCCACAACTACAACCTTCACTGAACTGGTAACAGTCTCACACAATTTTACTGAGCAAATCCATTATTCTAACACAGAGCTGATACAAGCTAATGTACTGGCATGTTAGCTTGGTTCATTAATTCACACAAGTATCTAATAAAATCCACTACCATGTACATATAAAATATACATCTATGTACATATTGCAATTCAACTACTGTAACGACTACACTTTCATTTGGCACCTAAACATGTTGGTTTCATTACACCAGGAATATATGCCCTAGTTCATTCTTATTGTTCGTTGTACACTTCAGGAAGCATAGCATTACAGAATGTTGAAGTTCAGTTTCCTGCAAACACTTGAAAACTCATTTCCTACAAAAGATCTTTTTAATTGAACAAAATATAAGTAATCTGAACAACTGCATAGGCTGTAAGGAAGGAACTTGGTGATATATGCCTTTGCTACCTGAAAATTACTCACTAATGGAATGAATTTCAAATTACAAAATGCACATGGTTTATGATATGGTCTCATATAAGGGCACAACTAATACAATCCAAAAGAAAATATAGGTTAGCTTTCATGATTACAATTAAATTTAAAATCAAAATTTTTTTTTCTTCTTCAAAAATACATCTTTCAGTATCTAAAAACACTCCTATTAATTTGTAGTCACCCTAATGGTTCCAAAGTTTTTCCGAAGTTGTTCAAAGAGGATGAAAGTCAGGATTGTATGTGGTCCCAAACGCACAAATGCAGGCACATATCCCTGTTGGAAGAAAATGGCATATGAATATTTTCTACTATATAGCATATTGTAAGAGAGAGAACAAGCAGGGTATGTGTATGTGCTAGTGTGCCTGTATGTGCATGTATGTGCATGCGCACATGCACACATGCATTTAAGTGTATGTGCATATTTGTTTGTAAGTGCATGTATATATGTGCATGTAAATACATGTGTTTGTGTATATTGTTTATGTATGTGTGCATGTATGTTTTTATGTATGTGTATGTGTATATGTCTGTGTGTATATGTGTGTGTTTATGTGTGTGTTTATGTGTGTGTGTGTGTGTGTGTATGTGTATGTGTATGTGTATGTGTATGTGTGTATGTATGTGTGTGTGTATGTGTGTGTATGTATGTGTATGTATGTGTGTGTATGTATGTGTGTATGCGTATGTATGTGTGTATGTGTGTGTATATGTGTGTGTGTGTGTGTGTGTGTGTGTGTGTGTGTGTGTGTGTGTGTGTGTGTGTGTGTGTGTGTGTGTGTGTGTGTGTGTGAGTGTGTGTGTGTGAGTGTGTGTGTGTGTGTGTGTGTGTGTGTGTGTGTGTGTGTGTGTGTGTGTGTGTGTGTATATGTGTGTGTATATGTGTGTGTATATGTGTGTGTATATGTGTGTGTATATGTGTGTGTATATGTGTGTGTATATGTGTGTGTATATGTGTGTGTATATGTGTGTGTATATGTGTGTGTATGTGTGTGAGTATGTGTGTGAGTATGTGTGTGAGTATGTGTGTGAGTGTGTGTGTGTGTGTGTGTGTGTGTGTGTGTGTGTGTGTGTGTGTGTGTGTGTGTGTGTGTGTGTGTGTGTGTGTGTGTGTGTGTGTGTGTGTGTACATACAAACAAAATTTTTTAAATACTAAAGTCCAAAAAATTGTTTGAAAGATACTAGCAAACTTCACACTTCCCGAGTGCGAATATAGTTCAAGAGGCTGGTACTGTATAAGGTATGTCGTACTTATTGGGATTTATTTACAGGTATTCTTAATATAAACAAAACTTTAAAACAATGGGAAAAAAAGGTAATGGAGACCCGACTTTCGACATACAAACAAATCAACTTACAAACAGCCTCCCAGTCCCCATTATGTTCTTAGTTGGAGACTTACTGTACATATATATATACATATATATGTATATGTATATGTATATGTATATGTACATATATATATATATATATATATATATATATATATATATATATATATATATATATATATATATATATATATATATATATATATATATATATATATGCATGGATATATGTGTGCGTGTGGCACGGGTTTGTGCATGGATATATGCACGTGCATAGTGTGCACATATACAATTGTAAGTGTTTAGAACAAAAGGGAATAGGAAATTACATGATCAAATATAGGGATCCTAAAATACTTGATACATACCTTGAAGAATGCCATTGGTCCTGCTTTCCCTGTGTAAGAAATGATATGCCACAGATTCTGAAATAAAAAAAAATATATATATATATAGAGATGGTTCCACATGTGCTTAGTCACCAAAGAGTCAATTATTAATCCTACCTATGTCACCTGTTTACCTGTTTCCTTAATTTTTATCAAGATTACATTTTTATTATTCTATAATTCTTATTATAAATATTCTAATAACATTATGTCCTTCATAATATCAATAGTAGCAACAGTATCAATATCAATAACATTAGAAAAACAAAAAACACAAATTAAAGAAATGGGGAAATTAGGTGCAGCCACTAGGTCCAACTAATTGAATCCTTGATGGCACTGAGTAATGCACCATACTGAATCACACACCAGACACTACATACTGTCAGCTGAAAAATCAGGAGTGGTATACACCCCTGCCATGGCAAACTTTATAAAAAAAATTTACTTGTGAATGAAATAAAGAGTGCCTTGTCTTGCAAACTGATGTAGATATAACAAACCAGCTCAACCAACAATAATTTCTATCTACTCTTTTTGTTATCTGAAGATCAAGATCCAGAATGTGAGCCTTGAAAATATCATAACCATTTTTCTACATCCTGTGAGAATATGGGTACAGTTAGCACTGCTTCCTTCCTGGAACATGTCTCAAGAAAGAACTTATTTTCTGAAAATATTATTCAGAATGTTCTTTGGAGATCATCATTTTTGAAAGTACTCTTTAACCCCTACTAACTGCAAAACCTTCACCCTGCCTGACCCCCTGCTGCTAAACAGGTATGATTGATCAAGTTTCACTATGACAACTTTGGTCTTTGGCATTTGAAGAACACATTTTGTGCACCAGAGAACATATATTTGATTCCCATATCTCAGATATAAGTGTCAGAACCCATATTAAAAAGTTTACACATACTAGGAGATGACTATGAATACGTAATAGTAAGCCGTGTGGACAGGGAATGTGAGAGGAGGAAATAAGCAAGGGGTGAATGGATGATATATGCCCCACAGCACCAAAATTACTACCTCACTCACACTCAGGAACCCAGCACATGGCCAGTTCCCAAAACATCATCCCAGCCACCAAGACCTAGGTTTATGACATGATTAAACATCACCTAGCATTAGTCATTATCAAAAAAAAAAAAAAAAGTTATGATCACTGGAAACAGGAACTGAAAGTACGGCAGCTTGTCATGAGTATAGAAAAAAAATACAATCTGTAACTGTCCCCCTGTCATTTCCGGAGGGAAGCGGGTTGAAGGGCAAGATTTTTAAAGAAGTGAACACTGAAGAGTTAGTACACAGTGGAGTGAATATTTTGCTTCAACAGATGGACAAATGGTACAAAACAATGAGATGTCAGTTGCATAGGAGGCATGGACAAGGTTTGATAGTTACAAAAAAGAAAAAGAAGATACTATGGAGAAGTGTATTTTGGAATTTGTAGGGAGAAGTGAAGTTTTGGAAAAGTAAAAAGTGAGTATACCATAGTGTTTAGCATTTAAGCTATTAGACAAAGCAGGGCTAGAAGTTAAAGCCAAACAAATAGTACTGATAGCAGTGTCCTTCAGTGATCCACATAAGATGTCTGATTCCATCCAGCAAGCCCTAAGAAATTTTTTGGATGTCAAAAGTACTATCATTGGGTGCAGTGTCAGGGAGTAATGGAAGTGAAACTCATGCAGTGGTTGTAAAATCTGAGCCAGTTTTTAATAGAGGAGGTGAACTTTGTTACATGGGGAAGAGGATGTGGCAGATTTAGAGGCAGAGGAAGAGGAAATGAGACAAATAGAACAGAGAAAAATGGATAAAGGAACTCTGTTGACAAATATGGAAATACTAGAAAGTGCTATCTATGTGGATCAGAGAATCATCTGTCTCCAGTATGTCCAAGAAATGTGTATGTAAATAGTACAAGTGAGAAAATACAACAAGAGGAAGAGTCATATACTGTCGTTGACAGTCCTGGAACAATGTTGGCTTTAATGACAGTCTATATTCTATAAATTATACTATCCAGGACACAGGATGTGTTGTGATTAATTCTTTATCAGAAGAGAAATTGAGAATAGAAGAGAAGAAAAGTAAAAGCACATTTAAATTTGATAACAGGAATGTGTTTAAGTTAATGAAGATGATAAAATTTCCAGTGAACATTATAGGTGACAGAACAGCTGAAGTTATGAATTGTTCTAGTCCCCTTCTGCTCAGCAAGAACTCACTGAAGAGAGCATAAATGAGAATGGACTTGGTAAATGATATTGTAATAATACATGGAAAAAAAGTGAAATTGAGGAGCACTTCCTCACGACATTATTGCTTCCTACTATGGGATGAGAAAGAAGCTTGAAAGAAAAACAGAGACATAAAGGTAACTTTAGGACTTAGTGACAAAGAAAAGAAAGAGAAGATTGAAAAATTACTCAACATTTCGGTCATCCCACATCCAAGTGATTAATTCAGGTATTGCAGGAAGCAGGCACTGACAATAAGATGTGCTTCATTTATGCTGAAGAGGTGTCAGATAGTTGAGAGATATGAATGAAGTATTAACCCAACTCTGACGGGTGAAGAAAATAAATAAAAATTCTACACACTGGAAATTAATGGCAACAAGCAGACTTTGGGCGAAGGAGTCTGCTACATCAAGCCAAACATCACCACAGCGTACAGCCGCACACCGCAGATTGAATGGTTTGTTATGATGCCGTTAGGCATGACCTGTCAGTAAGGGCATAAAAGACACCATCAAGGCCAACTGTCAGTGTAATATGGCAAAGGAGTTCAACAAAGTGGTAGCAATTGAACTAAAAGAATATAAGAAAGGAGAGATTTATTTCCTACATATGGAAGATATGGCAACCAGGTTCTTAAAATCATATGACAAAATGTAAAGAACCCAAGCAGATAGTTGATAAAAATTATGGGGACATGGTTAGGAATTGATTTAGGAGCAGCTGTGAAATTTTTGTGTGACAATAGTGGAGAGTTTGCCATGTTGTTGGCAAACAGCAGCATATTCTCCCTTCCTTAATGGCCTTTGAGAATGTAATCATGCAATTATAGATAAAATGGTGGCAAAAATAATGGCAGAGCAACCAAAACTGTCTTTACCATGGGCAGTCAATGCTACAAATTATCTTCAGAGACAGGTGTTTTAGCTTATATCAACTTGTACATGAACAGAATCCTTGACTGCCATGTACCATGAGTGATGAACTCCAGGCACTGGAATGAACAACATCTAGTGAAATGGTTGCTAAACATATCAATGCTATCCATCCATCATAAAAAACTTTTACTGCTTGCTGGCTTACGGGGCAGGTGACATGAACTTGCTGTCACAAGAAAATCTGGCTGTGCGCTGGGGTGACGTGAACTCTCTGTCATGAGCGTTTCGGCTGAATGCCGGGGTGAAGGAAAACACTTGCCATGAGTGCTGAAATCTCTTGGAGGTGATTCAACTCATTTGACATTCAGGAAAAGAATTTTGCATTATTTCCATCAATGAATGAGTGTGGAATGTAATGTCCATGAGCCATGACTGGAAGAGCACCAGCTCCAGGGAGGACACCAGTTCTATGCTCAGCATCCTATTCTTGGATACTGTGACCAGCAGTGCAGGTTGTATTACAGAATATTGAATATTACAAAAAAAAAAAATAATAATAATAATAATGACATAAATAATAAGATGCTACTATGGACTACCTAGAGATGATATAGAGTATGTGCAAGGAAAACAGTCTATTAACATCTGGATAAAATAAATCAAATGACAAATATGGACATTGGGAAATAGCAAAAAAACTAAAAAAAAAATTATACAGAAAAAAGGAAAATAATATTTTAAAGGGGAGGCATAGAGTCTAGTCAATGTACATGACTGTTAACATGTACCTGGCCTACAAGTTGCACATCCATCAGAGCGGCCACTCACATAAGCCTAAAGTCTGTATTTTGGGCCATGTGATTGTTGTGAAGCACATAGATCCAATGGGTTAAAATTGGCAATTAAGTCTATTTTAAGAGAAAGACCAAAAGGAATGGAAAGGACCAGCTATAGTCATTGGTCAAGATGGAAAAAAAGGAATTTGAAATATGGTTCAAATATTGTAAGAACCCATGAAACACACATTCAGGAATAAAAGACTACAGATGAGAAGCAATTATGAATTCAGTGGGAAATAATGTAGAAAATAAAAAAAATGTAATAAAACAAAAGAAGCCAGTGTAATTGTCAAGAGCATTCTGAAGACTGGACAAAGCATAAAGTTCTTACCAAAAGAGTCAAAAGAGTGGCAGACAGTAACTATCCAGTCATGCTAGAAAATCTACATGAAAACATAGTAGTTAGAGGAACTAACAAACTGGCAAAGGAAGAAATACAGAAACCCAGTGACACAGACATGGCTTCTGAAAATATGAAATAAAAAGCAAAACAAAAAGAACTGACAAGCTAGAAAAGTTCTAACATATATGAGGAAGTTGCAAACATGGGCCAAAAGGCATTGTCAGTTCAATTAGTAGTGACAGAAATGGAAAATTGTGATAAAAAAAAAAAAATAATGCATGGCTCTTAGCAAGGAAATGTTGAGGTCTTTTGTTGCTATACTGTCTTAACCCAACACTGCCAGCTGTAGAAAATAAATAAAAATCCTACACTCTGGAGATTAATGGCAACGAAGTGACTTTGAGCGCGGGAGTTCGCTACATCAAGCTGAACATCCCACTCAAAGCGGTCTAGCATTGCCGCGGCGTACAGCCATACTCCACAGACCAAGCGGTTTGTTATGATGCTGCTAGGCGTGGCCCAGCAGAATTGGGTTAAGAAAAGTGGGCAGTGAATTGACATTAAGGCTGAATTCCTATAGAGTGAAAGGTTTTTGTTTGAGTGTGAAGTGTTTCTTGTTCCCTCTACTGAAGCAGGTTTTGATGATAGTGTGTTATGGAAATTTGGAAAATGTGTATAATGTCTTAAAGATGCAGCTAGGAAGTGGTATCTCACAGTAAAACTTTCATGTTGAAGATGGGATGTAATGAGGTGAAAAATGTCCCTGCTGTATTCTATTGGGATCATGAAGGAGAATTATGTGGCATGCGTTTAATGCATGTAGATTACTTCTTGTGTGAATAACTGAGAGTATTTCCATCTGAAGTTCAAGAATATTGATTTCATTGAAAGTTCTTTACAAAAATGTTAATGTTTTTTATATCCACATTGAAACCCTTTACTTTTGCTTAAAATAGAGGGTCACTTGTTTGTTTTATATCCACTTTGAAACCCTTTACTTTTGCTTAAAATAGAGGGTCACTTGTTTGTTTGTTTTGGTCGGCAGTGCAGAAAGGGACTGCAGTTTGAATGTCACATATGGATAACTCTGACTTTATTCAAACAAAATATCGTACACAGGCATTTGATTTTACCCCGTTAATCCATAAACTCAACAATAATATGAAATCAGCAAGCTCACCTTGAACTCTCCAGGTCTTGCATTCATGGCTCTGGTTTTAATAACATCCACAGGCTGCGTCATAGTTGTTGCAATTGCACCCTGAAATAAATATTATAAAAATAATTACTGAAACATTAAATATTATTTGAATGGTAATGCAAACATAAACCATTATGCAACATTAAAGACATTTATTATAAGAAAAGAAATACATACAATTAATTGATACTTTATGTGAATATGCCTGAGCAGTATTTTGCATTTCCTTGAACACAGACAATGCACACAAACATGCATGTATCCATACACATGAATATAAAACTTACTGCAGCAAGGGAAGACGTGAAATGACATGTCAGGTTGTCCTTAAAATAAGGTGTGGTCAACAAGAATCCTTTTATTTGGTCATAAAAGGAGAGTTGACCAATTGTCATTAGCACAGCCCTAAAAGTTGCAGTCGAAGCTCCTCGGAATAATCTTGACACTCCCTCTTCACGGAGAACACGTATGAGGCCATCAAGTGCATGTTTATAGCTGAAAAATACACCTCATAATTACTGCTCATTTAAGTATTTCTACATGTGATAATCATCAGCACAGTAACATTAGCAATCATATTATATGTAATCAAACTTTTTAAAAAACATGAAATGAGAAGTTCATTTCCTTTGTCAACCCCTACAATCTGGATGACATGACCATCACGTCATGAAAAAAATTGGCTTAAGGGGCAGGTAACATGAACATGCCATCATGGGAAAACCTGACTGTGGGCTGGGGTGATGCAAACTTACTGTCATGAGCATAGCAGCTGAAGGCCAGGGTAAAAAGAAAGACTCGCCACAAGTGCATAAACCTCTTGGAGGATAAATAGACTCTTCTGGTGTTAAGAAAAGGGCTTTTGTATAATTTTGATAGATAAATGGGTGTGGAATGTAGTGTCTGTGAGTCATGACTGAAAGAGCACCAGCTCCTAGGAGGATGCCAGTTCTGTGCTCAACATCCTATTCCTGGCCACCAGCACTGGTTGTTTTATGAAAAACTGAATGTCATGAAAAAAAATAAAAAATAAAAAATACATAAATAACAAACTATTACTTATTATTATTATCTTTTCACTGAGTTATGGACTACCTAGAGATATGATATGGAGTCAGTCCTAAGAAATCAGTCTATTAACATCTGGAAAAAGCAATTCAAATGACAAATAGCCTTTGAACATTAGAAATTGACAAAAAAAGCTAAATACTTATGCAGATATATAACATTGCAAAGGGGAGGCATAGAGTTTGTCATTGCACACAAGTGTTTGTGTGTGCCCAGCCTACAAAACACACCCACCAGAGCAGCCGCTCACATATGCCTAATGCCTGTATAATGGGCCTTGTGATTGCTGTGAAGCAACTCGATCCAATGGTTTAATGTTGTTGTCCTATTAATCTTATCTCCACTGTCCTCCAATATAATCCAAGTTTATCTTTTGTTTTACCATCACAAAACTTTATTTTTATTACTTCTTCACTAAAAGAAGTGACAAATACTGTATAACAGAAGTGACATTTTATTGGAGTGACATAACGATGGAGTTATGTATAAGTGAAATTCTGTAAACACAATTATTAAAATCATCAAAATTACTTTTTTTTATTTTACAAACTAGAACCAATGAATTGTTGATATATATTAAACATGTTTGCAATGCTTGTTCTCCATCACTGAAATTATCTCAGAGGTCAGAGAACATGAGTACAACTGCTCCAGCTGAGAGGTTCATGTCAGGTCTGCAGGCCAATAAAATTGTTGTTGCATCACCTACTACCTAGGTGGTTGGATGATTGTCACTCCTTTGAACTTTATATCTGAGATGTCACTCCTTTATTATGTCACTCCTATGACATGTCACTCCTTTGAACAGAACTGCCAAGCAACATAGAAATTCAGTTTAGATCATCAAAAGCTTGAGGATCAAACTCAGATACACTATTAACCATAACATCAAAGAAAATCTTAACCAAACAACCTACTTTCTTCTCTGGTCTATAGGTAATTTGATGTCATTCTGCATCCTCACGTTGATCATGTCCCCTGGGGTGCCCACAAATCCACCGCACGCTCCAGCAAAGCCAGCTAACATTGCTCGTTTGTAGAATGCGAGAGGCTCACCCTTGCTGTCACCAAGCCGCTGCTTCACTACCTGAAATCATGTTTGGGTTATGTTTAACATTTCACATTTTCTCTATAATTTTCTTTCATAT